CAGCGAAAAACAAGGGTCCCACTTCACGGGTCTTATGCCATTTTTTAGTTTCTTCTTTATAACTGCTTAGCAGCTCTGCTTTTATTCCTTACGAGCGCCCAACACCATCGCTTTCAAGGTTTAAAAACCCGTCTGCAAGGCTCAACAACAATTTTTTCGCTCTTTTTTCAAACTCTGTGCTAGGACGAAATCCGATAAGGACTCAATTGAAAGCAATGTAAAAGAACTTACAATTCCCTGTTTGGTTGCTTTTCAATTGCTTCGTATTCCTTGCAAGGTTTCTCAGTGGTAGATAACTCAGCAGTACGCTTCTCCGAGTCGAAAAAAGTGCTAGAAAAGTAAAAAAAAATATTACATGCTGTAAAGAAAGGCATATCGTCAATTCAGAACATAAAAAGTAGTACTGCACTATTACAACTCCAACGGGGTAAAACAAAATTGGTTCTGCTGAAACTCCTATGATGGTGGCTAATGGACCTGATCACGGTATGAATTACTAAAATCTTTTTTGGCGCTCCGTAAGTTCGTATATCCGGAAAGCCGTCTATCCATAAAAATCCGGAAAGCCTACAAGTGACAGTAATTCGGTACCCTTTTCATGTTATTAAAAAATGCTATTAGACTTGGTAAAATATTGGGGCGCCAAACCGGAGCCAACGTTTTTTCTGCCCTGCAGAGGTTCTAATAGTGCAACACGGAGGCTAAAAATCCACGAAAGAAAAAATAACGAAGAAGCCTTTTCTCCGCAAAAATGCCACCATAACTGAAAAGGAGCAATTTCTCATACTTACGCGCGAAGTTCGCTCAGCTTGTGATCGAAAGAGTCTTCAATCGTGTTGCGATATGTAGCGAAGTGCCGCTTGAAATATAATCAATCGATCAGATTACGGAACCGGTTCCATAAAAATGTGATTTCAGTAAAAAAGCTGTTAGGTGACGAAATGTTCACTGTAAATTAATATACCAGCTATTACTAAGAAACAGCTTACACTAGTATGAGGTCTCAAATTGAGACCATTACATTTTCCCTTTCGCAAATCACGTTTCTTTTCCACAATGCGCTTTTCTGAGGCATTACACTGTAACTTTTTGATATCCTCTCTCGCCAACTCCACTTCGGCATCTGACTTGACGATTACCAGCTCCTGAAATGAGAGCTGACCAAAAACTAAGATGAAGAGAGTGTTGAGGCTAAGGAGTTAATGAGTGTTTGTTAAGAAAATAAACGCGTTCCTCACATTCTTCATCCTGTTTGACATCAGTTCTTGCTCATTTTGTAGGGCTAAAAGTACCGAATTGAACTATTCAAAACTATTCATGTCTTAGCTAACCGAGAGAGGAAACATACCCTGGAGTTGATCTTCAAGATCAAGTTTTTCCGAGTGCAACCCATCAATTTGTTGTTGTAAACGACATCGCTTGAAGAGATTAACTAGTATCAACATGGCCAATAGACATCAACGAGGAATTTGTATACTTACCTCATCATTGAAAGAAGAAATAGTGACCCCAAGCTGTTCTGCTTTCTTTCTGTATTGTCTCCAATTTTTCGCGAAGAGTGTTGTTTTCCGATTCCAGATGTTCATTGCGTGACTTCAGTAAGGAGTCTCTTTACAAAAACGTTTTCTATCATTTATTTAAGGCTAAATATTATTGCATGTCTAGATACTGACGTTCTTAGGAAACTCCTGTTTTTCCTTCGCCCACTGTTCAGCTTGTTGCTTTTGTAATTCACAGATACTCTTGATCGCAGTCTCCTTTTCACAAATAATCTGAGACAATCTATTATTTTCCATTTCTAATCGCAGTGACTCGTACTCTTCAGCTAGTTCCCCATCTTCCACTACATCCTGTAAAAGGAAAGGTAATGAGCAATAGTACGAAATTTTGCAGGAGCCCAGCAAACACCTCTTAGAAACAGATAACCAAATAATCAACTCCAATTATCTAATCCCTCGAACTCATCTCATGGACTCAAACAAACTTGTTCCAAAGCTCCACGATTTTGGCTGAACTGACTGGCAGAAGGTGTGAATATAGTCCTACGACGTTCCTTCTTTCGTTGGGCAGGAGTTTTGCTCTTGACTTCACAATTTCGAGCCTGAAGGGATCAAATTTTCTACTGAGCTTTAAGAGTGCCCCTGATATGGAGTACCCCGCCTTTTCAGCAACAGGGTAAGAAATGTTTCAGCAAAGTGCAGCCGCACGAAACAATGAAACACACCGTAGTTAGATTGAGCCGACGTAATGATAATTCAGAAATAGATGTTTCGCTGCATCCTTGTAGAAAACCGTTATATTTCTCGACAGCTGCTTTCCTTGAAGCTTCAGCATTCTCAAGTCGTAAGCGCATCTCCTCTAGCTCATTGTAAGCCTGAAATATTAGGATTTAATTGCCCGTGCTTCAGAGAGAAAACCTATTACGTCAATGTATTCTTTACCGGCCAACGAAGAAACAATATTTACCTACGTTAACTAGGTTGGCCTCAAGCTGAGCTCTTGAAAGATCTTCGAACGTCTTAATTGACTCGATCCTTCTCGAAAGCTGCGCGGTAATGGCCCGAATCGCTTCGTCACTTGACTACAATAGTAGAGTACTTATGAACGAATACAGGGCTTTTCTTATATCAGTACCTTAACATCTCCAACTACGGAAGGTCCACTCGTCAACTGAGCCGATAACAAATTACATCGAAGCCGAGCTTCGACAAGGTCCTTTTCACGAGAAATCGCGGCTTCTTTCCAAGTCTTAAGTTCATTCTCAACCAATGCCAGCTTCGCGGTCATTTCTAAAACACTTTTGGATTGATTACGCTGCTTTTGGCTTCCTATGGAATGTTTCCAAGAGAAGGAAATCAAGAAAGCCAGAAAAGACTAGGGATGAAACATTTCCTCTCCCAAGATGAAGTGTTCTTAAAATGCCACTTCAAACGTTAAGTTTCACAGAGTGGAAGTTCAATAGTACCCGATCTACATGAATATTCAATTAAAAATAAGGAGGAGAAAATATGCGTCGATCGGTCACTAGAGTATGTGATTCCTAGTTAAGCTGACATCCAAAACCACAGCGGCGTGGATTAGCACTAACTGTAAGCCCAGCCGATGAATTTTCGAGAAAACTCAAGTGTAAAATGAGAGACAGCTAATTCAAACGCACCTGACCGGGATAGGTGCGATTCGATCACGTTCAATTCTTCGCGGAGGCGAGTGATCTCCTCTTTGTACGCCATTACAGTATATCCAGATAGATCTTCATTCGCATGAACACGATTTTCAATTTTTCGACAAGCAGCAGCTCAAATTGTAGTGTAGACATGTCTCGGAATAGTACCTATAACTGCCCATTATACAAAATGAAACTATTAATTACCAATAGGGTTCCTGGGCTTCATTGTTCTACACGTTCCTCGTGTGGTATTGATGTGAGAACTCTTCGAAATACTTTGTGACGACGTTTTGGGCCTTAAACCCTTCCTAGGTCTTCAAATACAAACATTCTAATCGTACATCAACAACGATCTCGACGAAACAATAATAATACATTGAGAAACGCCACAGTGTTTCTACAACCAACCAACATGAGAAAAGTTGAATTAGTGAACGGGTTGGTCCTGGAGACCCAGTAATAGTGGCAAAGTAAGTGAGATGAGGGGGAAGGACTACGTGAAGGGCACTCATCGTTCTAGCACTCACTTGAACGAGAAGGGACAGCCAAATGAGGGTGGCAAATTGAGTGAGGTGCAAAGGGTTACCACTGCAGCTACCTTGGATATTCTTTTTGCCATTATTATTTCCATCTCATCTCAACCGTTGAAAGCAATTAGTTCTGGCTGTCGAGCGCTCTTCCTTTTATTGATTTGGGCGTTCTTGCGTACGAATTTCCAATGCCTCTTTTACTTGTCTCTCACTAATGAAACCGGTGTTGTATGCACTCAACGTTTCACTAGGAAAAGCTTGATCGTGAGGTCTTCTTTAGCTCGCCAGTGGAGCGGTTGATATGCTATAGGCCATCTTTGATAACGTGGAGCACGTATTCCATGGCGGAAGAAGGTCTCATCCAGTCATCTACGAAGGAAGTGAAATAAATGAATGGATAGAGTCGACAATGAGAACATTTCGAATGCGAATTAAATAATCGAGTTGTTCCTGAACGATTTGTTGGGGAGGAACTCTGATAGACGCCAAAAAGTCAGACTTACTTTTTACGTCGGGGTGGACATACAATTTACAGCTTGTCTTCATTTGCTGTTACCTCCAAGTAATCGCGTTAGTATGTTGAGTTTAATTTGAACTCTCGCATATGGAGTCATGGCTCGTACCGACGTTGTGCGCGACTAAGTTCGGATTAAGCGCGACCCAATACGGTGAGGAGATCTGAAAGAAGGTCAAAATAGAAAATACAGATGGAACCTACGGTATGGGCTTGTTAACTGAATAGCAACATCATATTCTTACTGAAACCTACGACCAAGTTAATGTTCACGGTCTCCTTGAATCGATCGCCCACAGTCTTAGCTTGTGCCTGTCTTTCCGATCCAGCAAGATCTACGAGATTCAATGTAGCGCACTTTTTATTCACAAGAGTGTTCACTATTTCTTCCGTTCTTATCTATAAAACAAGAATCTCTAAAAACGGAAATGGAACTGTCATAAATATCATTTGATAACAACCGGAAATCAGTCAAGAGAAATTTGACAACCAAAATTTCACATCATGTATGAACATAGCATTGTGAACGTTGATGACTCCGATCTATCGCGTGGTTCACGCTGTGCGCCTTGCTCCCACCAGCCTCCAAATGCTACCAAATTCGAATATAAATATTGAAAAAGTTGTTTCATGTAAGCGTAAAATAAATGGATGCGTTGTACGCTGTAAAAACTTTCATTACGAGTCAATATTTGAAACATACCCGCATCATATCGGAGCTCGAGTGAACGGGATGCTCGGATACACCAAGAATTTGTACAGCCTCAAAACAAATGATAAAATTGACAATGAGAGCAATAAATCCACTGCAAACGACGCTACCTTCGAATCGCTACGGATGGTTAGTTTCTGCTGCGAGTTACTAAGAAGATCGAAAAGCTCCTCGTTATAGAGTTCAACAAATTTACACGTGACCTCGTATTTATAATTTTCGCCTTTCTAAAAGCAATCTTAATTGAGGTCGAATATGACAAAATAATGGATTCCCAGTACCTCCGCTGCTGTGGTGCACAGCTTCATGAACAGCGCATCGCATGCGCGAGGAATAAGTCCACGATGTTCAGCGTTTAAGAAAACGTTTTCCACTTTTGAAGGTCCAAGCATAGTGTGAGTCTTCCCAGAACCAGTCTGACCTGAAAAACATGGACACCTTTAATTATCCTGGAGCCAATAAGGACAAAATGAACCCAAACTCTACTAAGCCGTGAGAGTCTTCACCCACCATAGGCGAAGATCGTCCCATTGAACCCTTCGACACATCCATCGATAATATGACTAGCAACCTCGTTGAAAACTTGTTCCTATGCAGAAAATATCGACGTCAATATAGTGACCCGGATATAATGACCAAGAATTCCTCAGACCTGCGTTACATCTTTGTTGAAGACAGCATCGAATGTAAAATTTCTGGGATTCCTTGGATTGAAGCTTCAAAATGTCCAATAGGAAAAGATAGCAGGTAGGCGGTAAAATACAAAAAAAACTGACCTCAAATTCTTCGTATCTATTACATTAACTATGCATCCTTGTGGGTTACAAGAAGACGAAGGACGGACTCGTGTAGTAACTTTGATGAATTCTGATCCTGGCATTGCTGGAAATAAGTAAGTATTGGGAGTAAACACTGAATAATGTGAAGATAGAAGTATTCGCTGTTATATATTATTCACCCCACTAACTCAAAAACAATTGCTGAACCTGCGCCTGCGGAGAGAGTCCTCTTCGAGATCGGGGCACTGCCCAACCCCCAAAGACTAAGCAAAAGTTGAGATTCTGAGATGCAGTAGACAGAAGCGCCAAAAATTACATTTCCTTCTGAAAAAGGGGGCGCAATATGCCTCCGGGGGGCAGCCTGTCGGAAGGCCACGAGGACTAAGCCTAGCGCAGAGGTCCGAATTCCGTAGGAAATGAAAATTGCTTGCGCAACTCGCTCCTCCAAAGCTTCCCCTCCGAGAGCTTATCCTCAAAAAGGAGCAAATGACGACGAGAAGAATTTGACGTCAAGTTTCCGGCAAGCTCCCGGAGCCACACTGAGCCGTAAAGAGTAACAAGAAAGGGCATAAATTGGGAGCTGTAAAGATTCTTGCTTTGTGCACCGCTTCTTTCGCTGGCAATGACAAAAAATTCATTAGAGGCAATAGTTATCACGCGCCCAGTTACCTCTAGGGGCCAGTCCGTGAACACTGCTTCAGAAACTGAAAATACGAAATTAACATTCGCTCGCGTTTGCCATACTGTGCACCGTCCCAATAGCTTGTGGCACACAATTACGCGCCCCTGTTTACTACGTACCTTTCCCCCAAATTAAAACATTAAGGAGACAGTTTTGGCTTCTTTGTCTGTTGGATAGTTGCACTCCTATTTTCCGATTATCAGAGCTTTGATATTACTAGTCCCAACTTCCTTGCAACTACCCTCATTTTCGGCCATCTATTTCCATTTTCTGCAAAATATGTTTTGTGAAACAGTGGAGCTTCTACGCTATACGTCATTTTTATTTTTTGCATAGGTTTTCTTGCTTCAAGTTTGGAGGAGGCCTTGTGGGGAAATCGGAATCAGTTAAAATTCCGTCATGTGTGTGATGCAAATCTGTATATAAATAAAAACAGTTGCCTGGACGGTAACCTTGCAAGGTTTAGCAAGGTAGTACAAACTTCTCAATAGATCCTCGGCTGAATTTTCTCCTCTTTGCTATCACGCTTTGAAAAAATTACTCTAGGAAGTAGTTTCATTACTGCGCTCTAATACTAGCCAGTGCTCTAATTTAAGTTATTGTGTTCTTCTTTGTGATGATCGTTGTGCGTTCTTTGTCTATTGAAAGTTTAACCAAGCTTCAGAATCATGATGTTCCCGGGCGGTGTAGGAAGTTCAGAATTGCAGCAAGCTGCAGCGGAGAAAGTCAAAAGAGATATTGGAACATTCGTTATTTTCGGGTTCTTAATAGAAGCTGGTGAGTGGCCTATGTTTAATTGAAATAAACGTGAAAGTTATGGCGCATTTCATTATGTTTTTATGGTCATGTTTGTTTTTGTGCGGTCATGTCATGCGCAAATTAAAATCACAGTTTCCTTTAAGTATGAAATCTTCTTTTGACGAGAGCCATCAGATGTGGCCAACCTACTTCTTTTATCTTCTTCTCTTCTCGGGTAGCTTAAAGTGTTAAGCTGGGGTTGGGTGGTGTACTTTCGCTCCAAACGGTTGTCTATAAAAACTCGACCAGGATAGCCACGCCTTCCGCTTCGCCGGCTACTGAGAGTCTATTCGGTCACCCTTTATCCATGTGGGAGCAATTTTGATGGCATCGTGGTAATTCAATTTTTGGGAACTTCATTCAATGGTTTCAACCCAGTATGTTTCAAGGGCGGAAGTGGTGTAGTGGCAAGTGGCACGCTTACCACGCGAGCGGTCCGGGGATCAAATCCTGGGTCGTGAGTCGCCCGGGCCAACCAAGCCTTCCATCCCTCCGGGGTCGGTTAATTGGTACCAGACTTGTCTGGGAGGATAAAAACACTGACTTGAACATCGGCTGGCCCCCGCAAGTCATTGTATAGGCCACATCGCATTCAAACGCCACTACGAATGTACAAATGGAAGTAGAAGGTGCCGTGCCGCATCCCAAAGAAGGCATTGCTCAACGGCAGAATTCCTTTATCCTTTATGTCTTGGAAGATAAAGATACTCTGAAAGATTTTTGGTCAGCGGAAGGGTTTCCTGGCTTCTAACATTCCTGATTAAAGTTGGCGTGCTCTGAAACTATACTTCACTTCATTTAAAAAAAAGTAAGTATGAACTAGAAACATTTCTATAAAAAATTGAAAATGCCCCTTGTCTCAATGTTATAAAGGCCTCATGGCTACAGTCTTATACAAGGGCATTTAACTCTCGCTGTCGACTTCGACTTCATAACGTTTTCACTTCGGAACCTTTTGACCGCTCACAACTTCCTGGGCATGTTTATTTTGCACTAGCTTCCATATTTATAGTCAGCGTTTGAAGCTCTCTCGATATATCTGGGTTTCAATTCAAAGTTTCTATGGGAAGTTCAATGCCTTCCCTAGTTAGGTGAGCACACTACCCCCTCAATGGGCCTGGACGAATTGAGATTTCTACAGAGGAACAGCGTTCTGATGGTACCGCGACGTCTCCATAACTTACCTTAGGTCTTTTGCCCAATGTTCACTACTGCTTGAACGCAACATAAGTCATAACTTCGTATAATGTATGCTATACGATTTATGTATGAATGTACAGGGGGGGGGGGCAAAAAAAGAGTCACTTTGCCCATGGCGCATATCATCAAACTTTTCGTCGCAAAGGATGCCGCTGTTATTGGAGTTATACGGCGAATTATTCCTTAGATGTCCCCCCATAAGCAGAATCAGGCCCACCTTCGCTGCGTTCACCGTCTCCAGAATATGACGTCATCTGTCATCACCGTCGAGCTTAAGGAGGCCTACAATAATCGCTCCATTCTGAAGCTGCTACATAAATTCTTCAATCGGATAACTGGTGAATGACTTCTTAGAGACACTAGCTCTGACTATGCAAAATGGCTTTTGACCAGCGTTTCAGAGACGTCGTAATCATCTATGGTTTCTCGACGACCCCGTTGAGCTCGTACCGCGAACCATGTTTCCGTGGGAAAATCTTCTGGTGTCGTCGGTTTAGAAGGCCACTATGCAATGTTTTTGATAGAATAGAATGTGCTCTTCAATATGCAATTGAGCTCATTCGGTTTGGTTTTGGCAAAGTGTAATTAATTCTGTTTTGAATGTGAGTAGGAGTGACTCTTTTTTTTTGGCCCCCCCCTGTATACAGCGCAGAGCAATTTCTGTAGGATTTAAGTCTGATTTGTATACAAGCCAGACCGCAACATTTATTTCGTTGACGCTAGGCCACACTATAGCGGTTCGGCTTCAGTAAAGGGCGGCGTTTTCGAGTGTGAAGCCGAAGTTTTGCCGTTGTCTCCATTTAGTAGTGACAGATAATGATCAACAAGAACATTCTCATCGTCGCTGGAGTTCGTTCTTCGCGATACAAGAGGCAGAGAGGATACAGCGCTGTTGCACATTGCAACCCAAGCCATCTTGTACCCGCTCCCGAAGTTCTCCGGCGGAAGATCAGTGTATCTTTTATGGGATCCTGTGATCTCCATCCGGCACGTTTTAATAAAACTTGTCCCCTCGGACAAGACAACCTGATTTGAACAATGCATAGTCATAATGAAAGAGCCTTCCCATTGTACAGGACCACCTGCTGAATCTTAGTCAGTTCTCATGTTCCTCCTAGCTAATTCGATGCGAGTTGCTTCGTAGAGCTCACCCATTCAAGGGGAGACCATCATGGACTCGCGCACGATTCTTAGTTGAGTTAGTTTGACTTGAATGACACTTGTGGCTTCCAAAAAAATGTCTTAAGTCAAGAGATTGAACGCATTGATCAGCTATGACTTTCGTACTTCTTGTTCCTATGTAAGAAGCTTAAATAGTCCATACCCACAAAAGGCAACGTGCTTTCACTGAGCTTGTCCACAGAATCGCAAATTAGCTGAGAGGAAGGAGAAATTTTACTGTTGAGGTCCTCTTGCCTAGGACGCCTTCATAGCATTGAAACAGGAGGCATTTTCAAAAATTTTCTAATAAAAATGTCTACATCGTAATATTTTTGAAATAAGGTGGACTGTAGTTTCAGCGCGTGCTGTATTCAGTAAAGTAGGTAGCGAGCCACGAATTTCCACCCTAACTCAAGATAGCAGTTCTCAGGGGTTCCTTTGTACTTTTGGAACGCACTGTACTTCCTGACAAAGTGTACGTCGATGGTAACTTCACCTGACATCAAAAACCAGATAGTACAGTAATCCAATCTGACTTGAAATAATGAATTCCCGTCTATACTCTTGGTTCCTTTCAAAAATCATTGTTTTTAGTGGCGTTTGGCGCATCTTACTTGAACATCGAAGGATTCCTCGTCTGATTATTTCTAGTACTCCACTCAAAGTGTATGTTTTACTTTTTATCCACTTTTTCCCGCTTGTCTGTGCCACTTGTTCCGATGCTTGAAATTTTTTAGTTGATATTTCAGGCTTCACGCTCTGCTCAGGAAACAATAGGCCTACAAGTAAACCAGTGTCTCCAATTTTATAATATGAAATAAACATGAGCTATGAGTGTTATAAACTTTTTCGGTTATTTATCGTTGATCTTGCTCAAATCGATGATTCCAGTGTTTCGTTTAACAATAGTTAGGTTTAGAAACATGGAAACAACCGATCCACAGTTGGCGCGATTTCTTCAGCAGTTGCAGTCAGAGACGCAAAGGCAGAAGTTCACAGAGCAGGTACTGGATGAGTGGCGATATGGTCGTTATATTCTAGGTTCATACACTAACAGGCCGATGTTGGGATGTTTGTTTCGCTGATTACCGCCCGCCTAGTAAACTCGATGGAAAGACCTCCACATGTCTTCAGGCAAGTGTGATTCGAAATCTTTATTTTGTATCACGAAATGTTGATTTGTATGGGTCATTGATAACCGCGCATGTTATTATTTGCATGGACTCTTGGTTTGCCTTGACCTATGGGTAGTGCATCGGT